TTATTTAATATATTCCAAGTACCTCTCATGTTATTTTTATTATCCTCTAATACTTTAGAGTAATATTGTTTCTTACATCTCCTCAAAATCTCAATTAATTTGTTCTTATATAACTTATATTTTTCTTCCACCTTCTTTGATCTGTACTTTATGAATTCCTTATATAACATTCTTCTTTTTACATGCATTCTGTAATCCCTTACTCATCCACGGTTTCCCACTGTAATTCCTGATTAAAATACATAATGTATAGCTTATTCATTTGCTGTCTCACCCTCATATAAAAATCTCACCAGCTATTTGCAGCAAAGAAGTCAAAGTTTACAGTTTAGCAGAACAACTGTAGCATGAAGAAAGAAGTCACACATACAGATGTTGGTGGAGATTAAAACAGAGAGAAAAGGCCAATTAATACTGGACTTATATTCACCAGGTGGCCTGATTTTCTATTGGTGAGAAATAGCTTAATAAAGATCATGAATCTCTGGGTTGCTGGATGTCTTACTTGTAAAGAGTGACTCTCTCCGAGATGTTGTTTGCAATCAGCACGGCCACCACCAGCCCGTATATGGCAATGATACCCGCCATCACCACAGGGATGATGGACTTCATGATGAGCTCTGGCCGCATCACAGACATGGCAGCGATGCCTGTGCCGCTCTTTGCTGTCCCATACGCTGCTCCTAATGCTGAGTAAGAGAGAACAGAGACCCTGTTAGTTTATCGCTGCAGTTCAGTCAGCAGTATTTCTTCACATACAAATGATTCCTGACAAAACAGGGAGGCTTCATTTTTAACTCAAACCAGGCAGGGTATGGATTCAGATTAAGATGGGAGGCAATAATTAATCAGGCTGATGGATTCCAATAGTGACAACAGTTAGATACGACCCTACTTGCAAAAAAACACTATTATAAGGCAAGCACGCCCCACCCCCCACCCAGGCTTGCAGAATCTGAGACACAGGGTAGAGGTGCCCAACATGCAGGTACAAGCAAGGATAAAACGGTAAAACATGTCTGACTACCACGTCTCTTCCACCCAGCAATACATATCTGACAAATCACCCTTGCTACCAAGCCCGGCTCATTTGTAATTCTTTATCATGTGATTTATTTTGGGCAGCACAGCGGCACAGTGGTTAGCACTCTCGCCTCAAAAGAAGGTTCTGGGTTCGAGCCCCGGCTGACCTAGGGCCTTTCTGTGTGGAGGCTGCATGTCTTCCCTGTGCCTGCGTGGGTTCTCTGGCTTCCTCCCACAGTCCGACATGCAGCTTAGGTTGACTGGTGACTCTAAATTGCCTGTAGGAGTGAGTGTGTGTGGTCGTTTTCTACATGTCAACCCTGTGATAGACTGATGACCTGTCCAGCGTGGACACTGTCAGCTAGGATGTGCTCCAGCACCCCCGCGACCCTATTCAGGATAAGCGGTACAGATGATAGATGATTAGTTTTGTGACCAATTCTTCTCCTACGTGTCATCTCTGCTCACCTCATGTTTGACTTCCAAAAAGCTGGTCCAGTAAACTCGGAACTTAACTACGAACTGTGAGTTGACTAACCCTCACATGAAAAACTTGCGCATACTGAAAAGCTTGAATGAGCAATATACATTATTCTGTTTAAGGTAGGGTTAGTTATTTTATTTTTAGGTCAACTATCAAAGATTTCACAGGCGCTGCAGGTGCAGCCAGTTCATCACTTGTCTCACAACCACCTGTCACCTGGCGCTGAGTAATTCTTTTCCTCTGATGACTGACCAGCACTGAAGCTCAGTGTAAATAAAAAAAGAAAAAAGAAACCTACACGGTGTCCATGCAACACTACTCTTTGTTACCTGAGTGCATAGAGCCACACAAGCTAATTAATGATTATTATACATGGCTTTGATGGCAATACGCAGTGAGAAACAGAACACTGGATGTTACCCACTTAGAATCCACTTACAATGAAGACTTGCTGGAGAAAATGAATAAACACACACACACAATGCAGCTTTTACCACTTCTCACTTGCTTCTGTGGGCGTCCTGACACGTTGGAGGGCTATGCACAAGCAGTTATTAATAAGAAATAAGCAACCCAGCACTTTCTCCAACAATTTTAACCGCTTTGCACCAAGTAACACATCTTCTAGGAATGAAAGATTTTTTTTTTTATCCACAGACATTTTCTGCTGTTGGATTTGTAACTTCTGATCCTTCCCCTTTTCAGTGCATAACAGGCCTTTGCACTGCCTCCTTTCACACAGTGCCTTTAAAAGCTTAATAAGAAATATGTTTGAACATCACATTTCTATCCAGTGGGTCTTCTGCCTTATACAAATACTCCATATTAAATGCTTGAGTTGTCTCAAGTATTCAGTAGGTACCGATATCCCTATCTTTCTTTTATGTTTGTCCTTTTTTGTCACTGTCATTGTAAAATTGTAGTTATATTCATTCAGTTGCAACGGGCCACTGACCCCACAGCAATACCTGCCCTCATGGTACTTAATATAAAAATATAAAATCCACATTATAGAGACAGTTGTGTGTCTGCAGGACCTGACATTACACAACTGACTTCACCAACACATCTTTCCTGGGGAGCACAATGTAAATTCTGCAGTGGAGTGTATTTCCTCTGTGACACACTGGGTGTACCTGCCTCCTGCACATGCATGAATGCAGGACTTTCCCCTTAATGTCACGGACTGATGTTCAGGCCTTGACGGTGGCCCGCCAGTGACACCGTTCATTTAAACTGATGGGAAAATATCCACACCCAAAAAGAATCGTATTTCTCGTATTATTAATAAGGACCTGGACCTTCATAACTTCATAATGAGATGACAGTTGGCCTGCCCGAGACGGGAGCGTCGCCAACCAGCAGCGTTACATCTTGACATAACGTAACTGGCTCACACAGGAGGTGGTTAGCTAGAGCAGCTTCGTGTCGGACACCTCCCCCGATCTCTGCTTTGCATCCTTGGCAGGTGTGTGAGCTGTGACCGACCCTGCGAACAGCAACACCTAACGAGAGGGCCGTGTTGTCGTTTCTAATACAGTAATTCAACATCTGGCTAAGTTAAGCCAACTTGTCGTTATAACAGCAACGGTGATGTCAGACGAAGATGCTGGTATAGTTACCGCTGAAGACCATGGCTGCAGAGGCTCCCATCACAGCGAAGAAAGGTGAATACTCGGGGCTCTCCTCAGAAGACATGCTCGCAAATTTCTCGGGGCGATACAGACACAAGGCTGACTGTCTTCTTTTTGTTATATTTCCCCTATCCCACCGTCAGCTTTGGACAGGTGAAAACACGGAGAAGAGACGATAACGTAGCCGCCCGCAGGAGCACCGGTATAGAAGAGGAAAATGGCGAAACGGAAAAAGTCACATGATCACCCATCGCGGAAGGATCCATTTGTGTGGGCACGGGGGTACTCGACACAAACAGGCTAGAAATATCCCACTTTAGTGGTTTAATACAAAATAAAATAAATTGCAGAAATTCTTCTAAACTGGCAGTGATTTCCACATTATAAAAGTTTGTGATACCACGATATAAGATGTAAAATAGTTTGTACAGTGTGCTTTGTGGTATGTTCTGCTGCAAGTGCACTGGCTGCAGTTGAAACGCTAGAAGTCAGTACGCTGTTTTATGAATTATAAGGTTATTAAATGTATTGTAAAATCAATCAAATACTGTGTTTCCCTATCATTTAAACATATGACAACAAATAAATACTGTAATCGAGAAACCATCAGAAAATACAGTAGCACAGTGTCCATATCGAGCATAGGCCTGCAGTCATCCTCCAAAACTGCAAAGTATGTGTCAGTTATATGTTGTGTTCAGCA